ACGACTGAACCCTGCTTTGTTTCCTTGCTAATCTAGACCGGTTGCACTGCTGTGGCTCAAGCCACTTCAAATTTTGTTAGCCAGTGCTGGACTATTTGGCTTAGCTGCACACTATACTGGACTCAAACGTTCCCCCAAAAACATATGTTGCTGGAGAGGAAGAATACATTGAGCTTCACTCTTGTTTTCCTTCCAGCATATTTTGTTAGTCTTCTACCTTAATTTTCCTATTCGGCCTATAATAGTCTTGCCACATACTAATCCTACATTCAAGACAGAGCTGAATAAACCTTAAATGCAAAACCATATATGTAATCACTGTTACCTACGATGTTTGATCCCTTATCCTTTTTTGGTGATAGGGCTCAAATTTCACTGATTACAGTTTTAAAAAATAATAACAACTCTAGAGTAGTTACTTTGAATAAGGAAAAAGCCTCAACAGCTCATGCACTAGATGCCTTGACATTTTCTCTTTGAAATTACATTAGCGAAAGCTTTCCTCCTAAAAACGAACCTCAGTCAATATGTTGGCCAATAATCAGACCCACTGCCATATTTGAATTAAATGCAGTTATAAAGTAGCATTGCCCCTTAGAAAGTAGCTTTAAGGAGAGCCAGTTAAAAAGTTTCCAGTAGAACAACGTTCCAACACAAAGTGCTGAGTTGATGAAACCCAAAATATTCCACAGGAATGTGCTAATTCAATCAAAACTTTTGAAAGGGGACAGGCCGGCTTGCCCAGCCAGCCAACCAGTCTAGTGAGACGACTGGCTCTCCAGGGTCAGTGGCTTCCCCGTCTGGAGAGGTGCCAGGTTGCTAGTTCCTGCTGTCAGAGAGGCCCTTTAATAACAATAACAACAAAGCCTTAAAAAGTGTTCTGAGAAACAAACAAAGAAATTTTAAAATGAAAAAAGAATTATTTCAGACAGAACCAACTGCAAGGTTTTGCCGAAAGGAGTTAGTTTCATTAGTTGCAAAACATCTAAAATTAGTTCCTTTTAAGCCACAACCAACCCTCCCTTCCTCCCTCCCTCTCTATCTCCCCTCCCTGTGCCTTTTCAATTTTTATAAAACATCTTCTTGCAATAAAAATCAAGACTATAAAGAAAAGTGAACACTTCCCTCCCCCCTCCCCCCAAATAATTCAAACCTAAATTTCACCAGGTAAGTCTGACCTGCTTTTCAGCAGCTATTATTTATGCAAACTGACTTTATAGCTACGAGTTAAATGCAAGTTGCTTCCAGAGTACTAGCGTTATTTAAGTAAATGCCTCTGCTTAACCAAAATAAAGGCTTTCTTCTTAGTAGTCACTAAATGGGCTCTGTGCTTAACTTACCATAGCAAACCTGAAAGAGATGTTGCAAGGGGCTTCATTAAACACTTTGACGAAGATAAAAGGAATGGGTATGGCTATACAACATTTCAGTATTTTTCCAAGAAGTCAGTCAACTGGTAAGTAACCCACTTGCTTCATAAAACTACCTTTTAACATTCTGTGGCATGAATGCTAGCTAGGGCATGGGACCTATTCTGGCTTCTCAGCAAATAACAGTATGAAAAGAGTTTTTAATCGCTAAAAAAAGCAAGTCTATTTAAAACAGTAACACCAAACAACACAATGTTTTTGCATAATTTGATTCATTTAAACAGCTTTTATATCAAAAAGACTAGATACTGGTTCATGTCTGAGCACAAGTAGTTTAAGAGATACTTGGAACAAAGTCCTACAGAAATAAGAAAGAGCTCCTGTTATGTGCCAGATTCAGTAAGCAATGAGATCTCTGTTGGAGGCAAGTCACATGATTTTGAAAGAATAAGGCCAATAAAATGTACCGATTTATTTATATGGAACTCAGCATAGCTTCCAACATAGAACTGGGACAAATTCGTGACCACTCTTTTTCAGAAAACACATGTAAATCAGACAGCTGCCAGAGCTTGCAGTTCACTGACTCTTCTTACTGCCAAATGCAATGCACAAAGGTAGCTCAGAAAGCAATTAGAGATTGGCTGTGAGGACTCATTAATTTTTGTTAAATTCCATATTACAACTGAACAGTATTATAAAATTTTCTGGGGAAGACTATATGCCTCAGATTCTTATTACAAAGAAAAAGCATTTGTCTTCCCAGAATGATAATATGCAAAGTTTGTTCCCAGACATTTCCTAGAAAAAGCAACTAATCTTCATACATTTACAGTGTCATGAGGAAAGATATCTAGAACAGAATGAGACAATCACATGGTTCAGTCTGAATGTACAGTTCTTAAACATCTTACCACCTGCAAGTCTAAGGCAGTCTTCAACTACTTGCCACGTAAGATTCAGAGAGAAAATAATGAAAAAAATGGATGTTTTTCCTGCTACTGATAAGAGGACTGGGAAACCACCAGTGAACAGCACAAACAAATGGTGCCTACTTGGCTCTAGTTGAGTGTAACTGGCTTAAGGCCAAAATAACAATGAGAAAGTAAAGAAAACACAGAGCGATAACTTCTATTTGGGAAAAAGGTATCAAAGTGGATAATTGAATCTCTTTTCCCCTCAAGCAAAATCTGAGTAGAGCAGCATTAAGTCAAGTTATCAATCTGCTAGTTAAGTCTCTTGCATTAGCCTGCTTGAAGGGTTTACAATCATATCACAAATTAATGATTGCGCACTACTCAACTCTGAAGCTGTATCCTAGATTTCTTTGTGCTACAGTAACTTAAATAACCACCTCCACTCCCAAAAAACCTCTCAAAAACTCAATCATTGAGTTGCATGAGACTTTATTGGCTTTTTCGGAGTACAGAAAAGCGTGGGAAGGCACTGGCACACTAGCAGCATTCAGAGTCTACTCTACTGAGTGTTTACATTAGCACCCAACTACATGCCGTAATTCTAATTTTAATCCACAACCCTGAGAGCTAACGAACCAGAGTTAAAAGGATCAATGCACACGTTTATTAAGGGTTTATGAGAATGAGGTCATACTTCTAAGTAAGTGTCTCTCAAATCAATTTATGTAATTTAGTAGTTTTCTCCTTTGAAGCCTTATAACCACTTCCTAGAATGAGCACCTAAGATTCTGTACTGTACACATACTTCTAAATAGAGAAATTAGATGATTCAGGTAATATCTCATATTGCATTGCCCGTGACTGCTGTTGTCCTGCTGTTGATTATCAAGAGAGTGGCTTCAGGTGTCACTTACACATTTTTACTTCTGCTCATTTATATGAAGGTTTTTTGACTCAAGAGACTGCGCAAAGGTAAAAAGATGGCCCAAAAATGCTGCTCCAGTCAGCAGTGTGCCAGCCGAGAGAAATAATTGAGAAAAAAGGTCGACGACGACACTGTTGTGATATAAATGAACATCACAATGCTGAGAGGCTATGTTATGTAACTGCTGTTTCTTTGAAAAAAGTCAGCCAGCTGTGCGTGCACACAGGTACACATGGGAAGCAACGGGGGAAAAGGATTTCACATAGTCAACTTCTAATTTGTGCACATCCCATCAGTTGGATTACTGCCAGGGCTTCTCTGCCAGCTCGCCTCCTGTTCTACCCTAAACCCAAGTGCACGATTCCTCCTTGACTGGGAAACTAGCCTACTTCTCCCTAACATACAGTATCTCATTTCTAACAACATGCACTGGAAACTGCTCAGTCTTAATTAAAAAAATAAAAGAAAATAACCCTCTGTTAGATGAAGTCAATCCTCTTAAAAATATGTGGAAACAGCAAGAGAAATATATTTACTTACCTTGATTCCTACACTTTGAAATGAATTTTACATCTAGATGTATACAATTTCAAATTATTTTGGCCACTAAGGCTGTGCCTACAGCCAGGATGTCTTACCGTTCCCAAAACAAAGAATAAGGTGGGCCCAACCATCCTTCGGGACTTATTCCAATACAAAATTCAGACAGTTTAGGATACCATAACAGCAACGAAGCCAGGATGGTCAAAGAGTCCATGAGAATAGGTTATTTACACAATATTTTATGTGAGGAGGGACCTCTGGTGGTCTTCCGGTCCCGCCCCTCACTCAAAGGAGGACTGACTTAGAACTACGTTGCTCAGGGCCTCGTCCAGTCGATTTCTGATTATCTCCGAGGACAGAGATCGCAGAAACTCTCTGTGTTGCTGTTCCTGTGTTTGACCGCCCTCATGAAGAATATATTCCTTATATTGAATGAGAATGTTCCTTGCTGCAACTTGTGTCCATTGCCACTCACCCTTTCACCATGTACCTCCAAAGTCACTCTGACTCCACCTTCTCTATAACTTCTTTCTTAACTGTATTCTGTGCTCACCAGTCACCAGATACATGAGAAATAAGCTCATTCAGGAGGCACTTACAAGATTTTATAACAGCAGGGCAGCTCTGCCAAATTAGGCACTAAGATTTCAGTAAAATTTTCTAATTCCTAATTTTAGGAAATCTTTCTGCGTGCTTCTCTTAGAACCCTGAGTATCAACCTAAGCAATACTGGCAGAAAGGTTTGATCCCGACAGTGGCACAAGTCCTGTTTGCTTTATACCAAAAGTTGCTGAGGAGGAGACCTTAGTGTTATGGGGGAAAAAATAAAATAAAATAAAATAGAGCTACCACAGGTGATTCATTTGACATTGGTCAAAGTCTCATTAAGAACACAAAAGCTGAAGGCAAGACATACATCTCTACTAGTCTTTGAAACACTACATATGCAATCAGTTCAAGAAGGAAGAAATTCTTTAGCCTCCCCTCCTCCCCCCAACCAAGCCACTTTCTTGAATAAGGTGCAAGTGTGAGTCCACAGTGTAAATTAATTTGTTTATACTGCATGCCAATATAAGTTAATTAGGAATTACTCTGCAAAAAACAAACTATAAACAAAAAGCATAGACCATTTCTCAGTCCAGTCACAAACAGTAAATTAATCAGAGTATCTTATTAATAAAAAATTATCATCACGCTCATGTTTAAAATGGAGAAATAATTATCAGCTTACTTCTTCTTTCTTACCATTGTAGGTTATCCTCGGTTTTGTCAAACACATCACAAGATGTAAATCCATTTCATCAGAAGATACAAATTTTGAACATACAGGGCACTTGAATCCTATGAAAGATAAAAATATGTAAATGACTACTCATGATCATGTTGCAAAGCTGTATATTTATATTCAGGACCAAAAAATAATTGTTCTGCATACATTAAAAGCCAAAAAAGCCATAGGGCAGCGTTTCAGTTTTGACTAGACATTTCCTACATAAATTTGATTTCAAAAGATTTTGAAATGCAAGAATGTTCACATGGACCATTGTGTCTGCAAATGAACCTGCTGCCTACCACGAACATGTCCACTGCTGGAACGCAAACACTTTCACAACAACTCTAAGAACAGTTCAAGATGGGAGCAGAAGGATAGTATGACTCTACTAATACAGAAATTAGACATGTAGAGAGAACATAGCCTTTAAAATCTGAACTTGGGCAGGAGCTCTGAATTAACATCTTGACTTTTCCCAGAAATACCATGGAAACTTTAATAAAGGAGCTTAAATTTACATCTCATCCTGCAAGCTGCAGCACCCCTTACCAGTCTGGGGCACAGGGATAACATTAACTCATGGGTGCCACCTCACCTACTCAATCACTAATATGTCCTGAAGCGCTGAGTTTTTGCTCGGCTTCCCTCATTCTAGCCACGCGTGACCTTGTTTAGCTTGTGAGGTCACAGCTGGAGGCAACATGGGGTAAAGAATAATTAGACAGTCTGGACTGTGATGCAACTGCAGAGCAGGATAACATACAGCAAAAATATCTACATAAAAATATTCGAAATCCACACTCAGTTGCAAAGGAGAAAACTTCCTTTTTTTTTTTTTGATGCTATTGAAGAGTAATTATGCAGGCATGCACCAAGGGCCATTGCACCTCCCAGTAGCATCCACATGCAGGCCTGCTCCCACGCTGGTTTGTTTGCTGTCCCCTGCCTTTGCACAGCTAACCTTGGGAGCCCCAACGCAGCTGCGTCAGTCAGGCCAGGAGGTCAAGTGACTTGACACGGCACTTCCAAGTTACTGATGCCTGAGAGTTTTGATCATTATTGTTAATTATTATCCAGATGTGGATCACGCAACTAACCTGAGGCAGTAGTACTTTACAGAAGTAGTGCACTTCATTTCTGGAGATAGAGTTTTTTGTGGTGTGGTTTTTGGTTTTTTTTTGTTGTTGTTGTTGTTGGTTTTTGGCGGTGCAACTAATAGGAAATAGGTCAAAACAGATAACTGGTAACACACCGGAGGAACGCTGAACAGCAGTTGAACATGTACGCTAGAAACTGCTTCCTGGCTTAACGTACAGTTCTGATTCTTCCCATTTTAGTCATAAGCAGTTCATATCTGTTTGTTCTTGTGCCAGTGTTACGCTTAAATTTAAATCTTTCTCCTCTCTCCTTATTTTTATGTCTCTCCCCCCCACGCAGATCTCTACAAACAAGAGTTACATGCACAGGTTAATAAGCACAAAACAAGCAAACATATCTTTAGAAGAACAGGTTGAAAGGATTCATGTACTTGTAAAAAGCTTTGTCAGTTCTGTCACTCCACACAAAAGTTTCTCTGTCATGCAATCAATAAATATGTATGCAGCCTACTTCTTCAACGAGTGAAGAGCCTGCAAAGGCAGCAGTTCTCTTTCCCTCTTCTCCGCCAAAAACAAACTACTTTTTCTCTCTGCCCATATTTCTTTTTGTTTTGCTGCTATTTTCAAAATCTTTAAATCTTAGCCAACTATTACTAACCGCTCAGCCTCTGTGTAGCCTCCTTCCTCCAGGCTGCATCTCAACATGACTAAAATCTAAGAAAGTAGATTTCAGTTCTCCAGCCCCCCCAAAGACATCCACAACTGTTTTGTACCATTTTAGTTTAGTTTTGTTTTTTTTTCAAAAAATGACTTAAGGGTAAATTCTCTCTCAACCTTTATCAGCCCAAAGCAGCTAATTACTGTTATGTCTAGTCATAATCAAAACTACTAAGACCCATGCATTATTCTCATTTATATGATTCTATAATTAACAGAATATTTTGTTTTATAAAACAGCACATAGCTTCCTCAGAACCCTGCTGTGCCAGAAGGCAGCGCTGGCATCACAGTGAGTAAATGAGCGTGTTCGTACCTAGTTAAGCAGCAGGACAGTCATTAACAGGTTGCCTCTCCTTTCTGGACAGAGGCCTTGTAGCCTGTCTAATAAGGAGCGCTGGGGGCAGCAGGGAGAACGCTTGATAGGTCTTTGGGACCAGTGCTAAAGTTAACGATGTGATTAAAAAGGAACATAGTCCACGAATTCTTGGGAGGGAAGACTTGAATTCAAATAAAACACTAGGGAGAGTTTGGGTATATAATGATTAATAATAATAATTATTATTATAATTATTACACTCCTCGTAAGTGAAAGTAATATAAAGCTTTTACTTAAAACCATGCTTATACATAGGACAGCTATGAGATATCTTTCTTATTAAGCCCTTACAGTATCCAGCTCAACGTACCTATACTACCACGGGACTGGCATCCATTTTTATACCTCTACTCCTGCCCCTAAATCTAGTCCACATTTTAACTATATCCTATCTCGTGGTTTATTCAAGGTTGAAGGGGATCTGCAGGTAGATAGTAAATGAATACAAATATTTTCCTGGCACAGCAAATCTAGGGTATCTGACTGTTGCAGCTCTGCTCTGCAACCAGAACAATACCCTAAAGAACACAAGAGGTAGGGGATACTACTTCACTAAGCCTTACGGATCAGTTTAGTAGCTTGAGGGTAAAGGCATCTTTGTGGACTAGCATTAGCAAGACAGCAGAAAAACGCCATGAACTCTCACGCTTACTGGAAAAAAAAAAAAAAAAAGGAAAAAAAAAAGTGAAATCTCACTTCTCATTCCTTTGCAATACTCTGCTGCAGTAACCAGCTCCTGCATTTAGTTGTCTTCCCCAAGAGATGTACATGCGTGCTTTGTGGGAAGGATATTATCATTTCCAACTCCTTTAGCAACCTCAAAAGACAAATTATTTCGAATATAGGCACAACATTTAGTTATTTCTAAACGCTATTTGAAAAAGATTAATAGGTCAACATTCAACACTGTTCATAAGAGTTAAAAGTCCCTAAAAAAGCTGGTATTTTCCCACCTTTCCTCAAATCAGAGGGCAATAGTTTCATGACCTAGTTTACAATTAAGTACTCTGAAAGAACAAAGACTCTATTGTGCTGCTGCCCAGCAGGCTAAAAACATTTATAGCCTATGTTTGTTTTTACCACCAGACTCAAGGAACAATTCTGATAACTTTAAGTTTCACATGACTTCAACAACCAGCGAATCACTTGGTCTTTCCATGACTTGCCTCACCGAGTTTGGCAGATAAACAACGTACACACAGCCGTGTGGACAACGAGGCTGAAGTAGTCATGGGATGAGGTGGCGTCAGGTAAGTGTCCTGTAAGAACTATGCATCTCAACTAACTACTTTCTCCCAGAACCAATGAAGCACACACCGCTAGCTGACTACTACGAGTGCACGCCTAAGAAACCCTGAGAAACAAATTCTCACATACGCCCATCACTTAGTTTCACAAGCCTGGGTACAATACCAAAAGTAACTTATTACTTTAAAAGAAAACCACAAGCCTGGAAAAAAAAGTACAACTACCAGACAAGAAAGACAGAATAGAAAGTAAGGGTAAAGCCAGTAGGAAATCCTAAGATGGCACAGAAAGTCTGAAGTAGCTAAACCTGCATAAGTAATAGGACTTAAGTATTCAGAGGTAAATTCTCTCTCTCTTCTCTCTTGAGCACATCACTTCCCCCAGACTCTGCTGCAGTCTTTTGCAAATGAGTCTTCAGGTAGCCAAGAAATCCCACTTTCTCCTACATCCATTTATAGAACTAATAACGGCTTCGTTTCTGACAGGTTTGGAAACTATCCAGAAGGACAGGTTGATGGGTGGCTACCCACTCTGTCCATACCAACTTTAACCTTTTTTTTTTTTTTGGTGGATATCTTGCTGTGTTTGCCTTGCTTTGCAAACATCAGATTGCTTAACTTGCAGTTCAGTTTACAGCAAAGCTAACAATTAAAAAAAAAAAAACTGAAATCAAACTCTGCATTTTGTGCAAAAACATTTTGGCACTCATTCTGGAATATGTGTATTGCAGGAAATAAAAACAGGAGAAAATAAAAGCAAAGAACTTGCAAACAATACAGTGAAGAATGTCACAGAACTGCACATAAAGGAAACGTATTGAAGCTTTATTAGAACTGCACAGAACGGATGTTCCTTCCACTACTACTGCTTAAAGCCAACCAAACGTTGACCAAAAAGTAGCCTCGAATAAAATCTG